TAATTGGCCTATGTTCGAAAAGATTACCGAAAAGGTGGTCAATACACATGCGGAAGCCCCAGGATTAAGCGACTATCAAACAAAGGGCTTGCGTTACTTAAATCATTGTGAACGTCACCTAGGAATTCATCATGAAACGTTGATTTGTTCAATTTCAACAAGTGTGTGAATTGTGTTTGTGCTCAACTTCTGGAAGTTGATAAAACAAGGCGACTGATGTCTTGGACCTTGGATGTGGACCTGGTCAGCCTTCATTGCTTATCGCCAAAACATTGCCCTCAGCGCAAGTTCATGCGACTGATGTTCAGGCCGGCATGCTGGCGAATGGCATTACGGAATTATATGGAATTATCATAATGGTGCAGCGGTCAATCTGAGCAAATTGATCTTTAATTTTAATTCATGTTGCCTTTCAAATGACACATTTTTGTCAAAGTTTCTTCATAGTTTGGGAGGAGGAAATGATCAAGAAGGCCAAGAAAAGAGCAGAGGGTGTCAGCATGCGACTGAGTTGACACGTGTTGACGCAGACATGACACGGACATTTAATATGATTGAAAGGTGTGCGATTGCGAGGTAGTTGGACAATATACCGTCATCATGCAAGAAAGACATGGTACTCGTATAATATAACCACGTATTATACATATATATATATATATATGTATATATGTGTGTATTGTATTTGTTTACACATGTAGATATATAATTATATTATATATATATTATGCTGACCCGAAAACCAATGCTTCGGCATATCTCATACAGTCTTTGTTCGGTCGTCATAGGTCCTGTGTGCAGAAGATACTGTAGATAAGTCATTTTGAATTTTGCATAGCACGCAGCCTCTTCCATAGAGTGATATGTGATGATATGTTTGTATACATTGGATGTCCCACCAATATGTGATACTACTGACCTCCCATTTGAATCTACATCCTTGCATCTTGCATCGGCGGAGTGGAGTCAACATCAGGCTGTATCAGAAAGTCTAGTCTAGAAACTAATAGAAACTATCTTGTGACGTAGTGGTGTTGATCGATTTGTCTCCACTGAACTGGACTCAGAATGCGATTTCCTGTTGGATTTCTGTACACGCGCTCGCACATACTCGAGCACTTACGCGGCGGACGTAGAATGCGATTCAAACAATTCACTCCCTTAGAATCAGGAACAATTTGTTCTACGAATTGTGTAAAGGGCACCTGGAATGTGAAGCGCCACCCGGGAATGCAGAGCATTATGATCATGCGCAGCTCCTTTCTCTGCACAGCCTAAACTAAACTTTGCGCAGAGGGCCTTGCCATCTTGCCACTTGATCTCACACGTGAAAGGGCCAGGGGTCACATAGTGTCAAAAAAGCAACGTACTCGTACCACACAATAGAGCGAGTGGGAGAGAGACAGACAGAGAGAGAGAGAGAGAGTCCAGCACCTGCAATCACCTGTTGCTGCGGGAGGGAGTGTAGTGTGCAGTAGATTTCTCCTGTCAAGTTGCCTCAGGTAATCTGAAGTTCAGCGTGGTTTCTGCTGATGACTTGTCTTCCTTTGGACCTAAAAGCTTCGATGCTGTGACGATGAATTACGTTTTAATGAGCTCTTGGTTGCACTTCAGCCTGATCTCATTTTTTTTGCCTGTGGTTTCTCACTGTGTAAAGTTGTGCCTTGTTTTACCATGTTTTACCGCTAATTACTCTAATACTCTACTTTTATGGTTTTATGGGCCCTTTGGCTGTCACAGTCCTACCTCACCGCCAAGTTAGTTTTTCCAGACTACCAAGCATTCTGAAAAAAAAAATATACTGTTAAAACATGTTAAAACTATACAAACCCGCTTTTTGGATAACTTTCGAGTCTCCCCAACTTCGATAGTTTCCGTGGTAGTTGCCAACATGCGCAGTAACATATACATAAGCCTCTCTGGAGCTCATGGAAAAGAGAACACCAAGCCTCAGCATGCCTTAGTGAAGAGATATGAAGAGAAGTTTAAGCACTGCAATTAAACCAAGATGACCTTACAAAGCATTAACTGTTCCGTGCTCTTGCGTGGTTGTGTAATTCTTAGCTTCAATTACAGCTACATGGTTTTGCATTGGTTGACGCTGTTGCTTCCATGGGCAAGGTTTGTGCCTGACAAGCAGAAGTCTTTGCGAGAAATTGGGCGTGTTCTTCGTGCTGGCGGACGGGCTTTCATATCTGTTACTAATCGGAGAGCAGCAGAGTGCCATAGACATCACTAGACTCAGACTCATTAGTGACTCATTATTGACTCATTAGTGACTCATTAGGCATTGGCTTGGACATCCCCATTGGAAAGACGCACTACGCACTTAGGTTTGGAAGAGGAATCCCTCTTTCACCTTAAGCGTGCTTGCCTCAAGCCTGATAGACTGATAGGCATTCTTCTTTTGTACGGATTGCATTTCGCAAAAGAAATCGAAAGTCGATGAAAGTCGAAAGCCAACAAATTGCATTGCTCTCCGCGCTCCAGTTACCTGAGA